TATGTATAAGCCCCCCCCCCCCCCGCCGACCCCCCCCGGCCGACCTCGGCATGGCCGGGGTGGGGGACGCCACGTACCCCCCAGCCTGCTGTGCTCAGGAAGGGCTCCCGAAACCCCCGCGGTGGTGTTTCACGCTGCTCTCCCTCAGCCTCTGGCTCGCTAACCGAGCCACTCACTCCTGAACTGAGTCGTGCCCGTTCACAGCCGCGCCCGGGTGCTCGGGCTCTGCCCCTGCTCGTGGGCACGGGGCGTTTTGCCCGTCGGCTCCGGCACAGCGCATCAGCCAGAGAAGCTGGTGCTGGCTTGGGCCGTTTGAAGGCGAGCGTGGCGACGCGGCCTCGGCTCCGCAGCGAGCCATGGCTCCGCGCTCAGCGACGCCGCTCTGAACCCGCCTGGCAGAAGCTTTCGGGGCTTTGCCGGCCGGTGAGCTGGCTGGGGCTTACGACACCCAGTGATGACAGTGCCGGGACTGTGATGGCAACGCCAGGACGGCTTTTGTGCTTGGTTAGGAGGGTGAAAAGGGCGGCCGTCCCTGAGGAATGTGCTGCCATCAGCAGGAGCAGCAGGGATGCCAGGGCGGGGTGGCAAGAGCTGCGGATGAGTGCTTTGGGGTGCTGGTCCCTGCTTTGGTAGCCCCCCCAAACTCCAGGGGGCTGCAAACCCCGGTGCCACCATCGCATCGTGCCTGGGGACTGATGCGGGGGGGGACCCACCTCCCCAGCCCTAGGGGGGGTCCAGGGACTTCATGGGTTTACTGGGAGCCCCCCCTTTGCTTAGGGGTCACACCTGACCCTTTCGGGGTACGGCACCCAGGGAGACCCACAAGGGCCCCCCTGCTCCCACCTCAGCACCACCCACACGGGGAGCGTTGGTGGGTGCTCCGGGTTTGGCAGAGCTCAGCGGGGCGCTCCCAGTCCTCCGAGCCCCAGTGAATCACAGGTTCCCCCCCGGGAGCAGGCGGGGAGGGCGGTTCGCTCCCTCGGCAAGCTGACGCTTGCCCGCCGTCCCCGTGCCAGGCACCGAGGGGCTTGGGACGGCCCCGGGGGACGAAGGGGCTCCCAGGGATGGCCCCGAGCCCGCTGGCAGCCCCGTTCCCTCAGGCTCTGCCTGCCTTCCAAGCCCCCATCCCCGCAGTGTGACACCGCCGTGCAGCTTAAAGATAGAAAATGGGGGGACGTGGGGGGCTTGGGGGGGTTGAGGCAGGTTTGAAGCCGAAAGCGGCAGCGCTCACCCTGTAAAGTGGCTCGTTAATAGGGGAAAGCAGTGGGTGGGAGCAGGGACGCACTGGGATGCTCAAAAAGCAGCAAATCGGCACAAAACCTCCCCACATTTGGAGCGCAACTGGGGGATTCCTGAGGGGATCCAGCCACAGCCAGGGTGACACAGGGTTAAATAAACTCGCTCTGGGGGTCCCTAAAGTGGTCACTGATCCCCCAGCCTGGAGGCACCCGTATCCCTTCCTCCGTGGGGTGACAGAGCCACGTCCCCAGGGAGCCCCCAGCTCCTGGGTGCGCGCTGTCCTCTCCCCTCCCCGAGCACCACCGAGTGCCTGTCCCCAAAGCCGGGTTCCCAGGGAAGCCTGCAGCTGCCGCTGCCATCAGCCTTTCAAGCAGGGAGTGGCCGATGCGGCACCACGCAGCCTGGCCACAGCGCACATGTGCCAAGAGCCACGCTGGGGAAACTGAGGCACGAGAAGAAAAAAAAGCCTCTTGGCCAAAGCTGGCCAGGAGCAGGCAGCTGCCGGATCCGGCATCCACGCTCTCCCTTTCCACCCGGTGCATGAGGACTGGCGGCAGGGCAGGTGCCACCGGCTTTCCCGGGGACAGCCACGCCGAGGGGTGTGGGACCGGCCGGCACGTACCTTGTTGGGTGGCCCCGGAGGGCCGTTGCCCTGCAGCATCCTCCCGGGCAGGCGGGTGCACCCCTGGGTGCTACACGGGTGCCGGATGCCCCAGCATGGGGTGGGCGATGCCGTCTGCGGCGGGGCCGGTGTGGGGGGCGTGGGGCCACGGCGCGGGCCCGCCCCGGGAGCTTACCCAACCAGTCTCTTTGCCGTTGTTTTGCATGTGCGCTCCAAACCCGCTCGCCTCGCAGCCAAGTTTGCACTTTTGGGGCTTGTGGCAGCTCCACAAAAAGCCTCGGCACGGCCGAGATGCCGGTGGGGCACCCGGGGGTCCCGACTGCCCCATCCTGGGCAGCGGAGCCGCGTCTCAGCTGCCTTTGTGATGCTCCAAGAAATCACCGTCAGTCGCCACCACCATGGCCATGGTCCAACATGTCCTTTCCACCGCATCCCCTTGAACCCCCCCGCACAGGGGGCCCACGGGTGCGACAAGGAAGGTTTTGGGGCGCCAAAAGGAGAAGACGGAGGGGAGGCACGGTTTTTAGGGTGCGGGGGGCTCCCCCGGGCCCGGGGGTTCACAGGGAGCGTGTTTGCATGTGTGGGATGGAGCAGGAGCCCTTTGAAGCCAGATAAGCCGAGAGGGAGCGTTTGAAACGGGCCAAACCAGTTTGGGGGCCATCGCTTCCACCAGCACTGCAGCCCGGGCTCCCCGCCGCACCCAGTGCTCACTGGGGGCTGCTGAGAGGTGACCCCCTGGCAAAGCCCAGCGTAGGGCAGGAGGCTGCCCAGGACCCTCCACCCGGCCACTGCTGTCACGCTTGGCCCGTTCTCAGCCCGGTGATTTCAGCTCCTCCAAAAGCCTGCACCCCGCTGTCCCTTGGGGCTCCAACGCCTGGCCGGGGAGAGGCTCCCCATGGTCCCCACGTCGTCCCCGTGACCGCAGCTCAGCCACTGCTGGAGAAACAAAACCCTCCAGTGTTTTGCTGCTGGCGCTGCCCCCAGCAGACACCACTGCCAGCTCCAAATTGCTTCCAGCAGGGCTGGACCAGTGTCCCCAGGGGGGATGGCATGGGTGGCACCAGTCCCTTCCAGCATCAGCGGCAGCTCTGGATTTGGCCGAGCCCGGTGCCCGCTCCGATGCTGGTGGCTTTGCGAGCTCGCTTGGCTGGGAAGCGGCTGGGAAGGTGCTGGCCCCAGGGGACCGCGGGGCCACCCGCCCTGCCCGGGACTTCTCAGCCCACAGGCCAACTCCCGGCACAGCGGGCAGAGCCCTGGCCCACAACAAAGCGCTTCCAAAGTGCTGGAAAAAACAGGCAGCGTGGAAAGAAAAACCTGCTGTCTCCTCCCGGCAAATCCTGGGGCCAGAAGTACCAAATTTGGGGTAAAAAGGCCCCAGAGCCCCAGCTTGTGGTCATTTTCTGATGGTAAGCAGGTTGCTGAGCGCACTGACTCCATCCTCACCCCAAAACTCAGCAGATGCTCAAACAGAGCCCGGGGCATGCAGATAGGGAATAAAACACTCAGGGGGGGAAACTCCAGGGCCATTTCAGCTCTCCCAGGGGTGCTCAAGGTTGTTGAAAGCTCACAGCGGAGGGCAGCAAGGACACGGTGGTCGCAGCCCAGGGGATTTGCAGGGACAGGGTGACCCGGCTGAGGAGCAGGAGGAGCTCACGGCAGCCGGGCCTACAGCAAAGCGGGTTTGCTGGAGCCCACGAGGCGCTGCGTGCAGCCGGGCACGTCCACGTGCAAGGGCAGAAGGCGAGCAAAGAGGTCGTGCAGACACGGCCGTCCTGCGAACAAGCGCACAATGGTGCGCGGGAGCGAGTGGGGCAGCTCGTGGCTCTCCCCGCAGCTCACCAGCCCTGGGGGGACACGGGGACGAGCCCCCCACGCAGCGTGTGGGGTGCAGGCAGCTGCCCGGGTGGAGCCCAGGTGTGGGGCGGAGGCTCAGCAACCTCCCTGCAAGCCCAGGCGTGCGTCCGGGCATCAAAACCAGGGCTGCTGCCTCCTCCTCCTCCTCCTCGCTGCACGAAACAGCCAAGGGGCCCCTTGCAATGCCGCTGCTGCCCACTCCCACCAAAGAGCAGATCCGTGCCCCGTACCCATCCTCCTCCTCAGTCCCGCGGGGAGCTCTGCCTGGGGGTTTCTGACCTTTCCTCCCACGCCAGCCAGGCTCACCCCAATGCTTCCACCGGCGCGCTCGCCGGCGAGCTCCCGGCAAGCCCGGGGCAAGGCTGCTCCCTCCTGCAGAGCAGGCCATCGGGTCAGGGCTCCCTGAGCCCTCCTGGGTGCTACAAACAGCAGCGGTGATTTCCAGTGGGCAAAAGCGTCCTCCCAGCCTGCCACTGCCAGGGGACTTGGGGGGGCGAGGGACAGAGGCCAGCCTGGCTTTTCGTGCCCTACACCCACCTGGGGACCGCATCCCTGCCAAGGCAGGAGGGTGATGGGAGGGGAAGGAAATCCCAGCCAAGACATTGATTTTATTTTTTAAGAATAAAAAAAAACCCCAAACAGACAAAACCTCCTGAAAACAGCTTCCTACCTCATAATTTCACAGAAATTAGCTTGGAAACATCATTTGCTCTCCCCCTGCTCCCGTACCTGCTCTGGGCTCTGCCCTGTCCCCCCCCAGCCCAGCCCCCGGGCGCAGGCAATGCCAGCCCGTGGGCCAAGGGGCTCTGCCCCCCACCCCGTACAGCCGCAGCGCGTGGCCCGTGCAGCAGGGCAGAGCCGAACCCCTTTTCCCCCTCCATGGGTGCTGGGGAGGGGAGCAGGAGGCTTTGGGCAGCCCCAGCGGGCTCGTAGCACCCGCAGCCTCCTGCTGATACCAGCAGCCCCCCCAGAAAGCTCAGCTCTGCAGCCTGGCACAGGGACAAGGTGCTGGGCGTTTTGGGGGGTGACCCAGCACAGGGGCTGCGGAGCGAGCGCCAGCTGCAAGCCTGGGTCCCGCTTTTCCGCCTCCGGCATCACCGGCCCAGCACAGCCTCAGGGACTCACCGGCTCCAGGGATCAGCTTGGAGGCTTCACCCCTCCCGACAGCAGGACGCCCATTGTCCCGGCGCTAATGAGTTAATAAATTCATTTCTGACTAAGAAATTAGACCCTTAAGAAAAAAATCACCACCCGCTTTCGCCCTCCCCACTCCCCCCCTCCCCAAAATAACCGCGGTTCGTTTACGGGTGCCCTCCGTGCCGGCACCGAGGCGCATCGGCGGAGGTCGGGGACAACCGGGTGCCAGCAGCGGCCTGCCCCCCGCGGGCACGGGGGGGGCGGTGGCTACGGGCCGGGCTCAGGGCGCTAGTCCTTGGGTGGCTTCTTGCTGCGGGCGTTCCACATGCCGCGCTTGGAGTGGTAGTAATGGTAAAAGTTCCTGAGACGCAAGCGCTCCACCTCCAGCCCGCTCTGAAGGACCCTGCAGCCGGACGGAGGGACAGCCGCTCAGGGATGCGGCCCTCCGGGCACGGGGGGGTCGGTGGCTACGGGCCGGGCTCAGGGCGCTAGTCCTTGGGTGGCTTCTTGCTGCGGGCGTTCCACATGCCGCGCTTGGAGTGGTAGTAATGGTAAAAGTTCCTGAGACGCAAGCGCTCCACCTCCAGCCCGCTCTGAAGGACCCTGCAGCCGGACGGAGGGACAGCCGCTCAGGGATGCGGCCCTCCTAAAGGGAAGCTTTGCCCCTTCCCGCCACCTCACCCCATCCTTCAGCCAGCTCGATGGAGGGGAGGGAGGGTTTCCCAGGGGTTGGGCCCAAATCCGCGTGGCCAGCCCTGCCCCGGGGGGTACGGGGCTGCCGGGACCCCCAGCCTCACCTGTCCAGGAGCTCCCAGTCCTCCCCACCCCAGCGGTCTCTGAACTCCTCCGTGTTCATCCCTCCCACGCGGTCGAAGTCCGACTTGTAGATGCCGAAGAGGCCGAAGCCGTTCACCTCCCAGTAGCCTGGAGGAGGGAGAGCAATGAGGCGAGGGGTGTGGGGGGACCCCAAATCCCCAGGCCATCACCCCTGCGCTCTCCGCACCACCTGGGAACCACGGGAACGGCCCATCCCAGCCCCTCTTCCCACCACGGGTCTGTCCCCCCCACCTCCCATGAGGGTGCACCAGGTGACAGCCCGGTTTTGGGGGGCATCGCACCCAGTGCGCCTCCAGCACCCTTGGGCTTGAATCCCATCTTGCCAGAGCAAAACAAACCCATCCTCCCCATGCATCCGAGCCCGGCTGTCGCCCAAACCCAGCGCCGCAGCTCTCCTCGGGCAGGCGGGGGACGTTTTCCATGGCAGAGGGGACCCCGCTCACCATTGGGCTCCCGCGGGGAGCTGCCGCAGCTCAGCCTCATGACGATGGGTGCGTAGGCCAGCTTCCCCTCCACGCAGTGCTTCCGGATGCTGTCCAGGATATTGGGGGGGAAATGGATGTGCAGGTCGCAGAGGAACACGATGCTGTGCCCGTCCTACGGGAGGTGACAGACACAAGCGGGAGGATGAGGGCAGAACAGCTCCGGGAGCGAAGCCAAGGCAAGAGCTGGTTCCTCTCCCGCACCTCACCTCGACCATGTCCACACCAGCCTGCAGCCCGGCCGAGCGCTCGAAGTTCCCCGTGCGCCGCAGGTACTGGTAGCTGAGGAGAGAGGACGGGGGTTAGTGCTGGTGACCGAAGGGGACACAGCCAAGAGGGGGACAGGGACCATCAGCAAGGAGAGGGGACCTTCTCAGGAAGGGGGTCAGATGCCTACAACTCATGCTGAGGGTCCCCCCACGGAAGCACAGGAGGTTTCTGCATCGCTGTCTCCTCCATGTGGGAAACGGGTTTAAAACCCCCAAAAAGGAGGAGGAAGAGAGGGGCAGTGAGGCAGAGACCCGTGCCAAGCTGCGGAAGGAGCAGCAGGTTGTGTGAGCACCACCAGGATGGCCTGTCCCACCACAAGGAGCCCCGCAGACCCCCCTCGGCAGCCTCGGGGGGAGCAGGGTGGGACCCAGAGCTTGCGCGGGGTGGCTTACCGGGGCAGCCGGGCATCCCGTAGGGCTTTCTCAACGTCCATGTCGTCACTGTCAAAGTCCACCAGGATGACGTTGAAGTTGGCGTCCTTCGTAGCCCCGTACAGGTGGGCCATGTCCGAGATGAACTGCTGGACCCAGCGGGCTTGGTTCTTCACTGCCAGACACAGCCACAAATGTCCCTCAGGCTCACCACGGGGGTCCCAAGAGCACCCCCTTCCCCAACCAAACCAACACCCCTTCTGATGAGAAGTGATAACCTCAGCATCTCATGAGAAGAGAGAACCTCATCCCCCTTGGGCCAGCCTGGAGGACACAACCGGGGAGCAAAGGGGTTGCCTTCCTCCTGCCGGAGGATGCTGAGGGCAGAGGGAGCAGCAGAGACCCTGCAGAGACGCTGTCACCTACCAGGTACCACGAAGTGCACCATGACGTCCTGCTTCCAGCTGAGCCGCAGGGGCCGGCACAGGACAGGTCTTCCATAGAGGATGCTCCAGGTGCTTGGCTGGGGCTCGGTGGCCCCCAGGGCTGGCCCTTCGGGGTTGGCCTCGGCGCTGTCGTCCTGCTTGCCCTGGTGCAAGAGGACGTAGACGTACTCGGAGAGCCGCACTGTCCGCTGGCCCCGCTCTGCCAGCTCCAGCTCCAGCAGGTAGCGGTTCCCCCGGGCCGTGTCCCGACGCTTCTCCACGTTGACGATCCTCAGGAGGGTGTAGATGCTACGGGGAAAGGAGAAGCACTTGAAAGCACCATCACCATGAGCTCTGCTCCCTGCAGCTCCCTTGCTCGAGGGGTTGGTCTGAACCCACCATCCAGCTCACCCAACCCCAAGAAACCAAGCGGGGCGAAGGCACGTCCTCCCAACCTCCCACCCATGTCCCGCTCCCTCCCTACCCTCCATTCTTCTCGTTGAGCTTCTCCATGTACTGTGCCACCACATCGACGACCTCACTCTCGCTCAGCTGCAGGTTGCCCGACACGTTGCAGCGCAGGTCGTTCCAGTCGGAGCGCAGGAGTTCGAAGTCCACTGAGCTGACGCTGAACGTCCTCTGCCAGTTGATGGAGTCCTCCAGCCAGCTCTGCTGCAGCTCCCCTGCCTCGTAGCTGTAGTCCGACACCTCTTCTTCCTCCTCCTCCTCTTCCTCCTGGCCCTTTCCCTCCTCCTGCTGGGATGCTGTCGTTTCTGACATCTTCAGAAAGGATGTCACCCGCGTCCCCTCTGAGCGGGTGGCCTCAGAGGAATTATAATCGGTGGTGGCCGCTGTCCTGCCCAGGGCAGGGGTCGTGTCCTCACGGGTCTCCCTACTGAAGAGCCCTTCGGTCCCCAGGGCGAGGGGGCTGGGCAGCACCC